CAGTGTCAATGACCAGGAAAATCAGGTCACCACCTATTGGTCACCTCTCCCACATAGACTAGAAGCCTGAAAGCAGGGCTCCCCCTGGAGAAAGATGGTATTAATACAAGTATCAAAATAACCATAACTACGGTGAATAAAAACATGTCGACTATTGTTTAAAATCCATGATTTTACAAAGATGCTTTTTTTAAAAAAAGTGACCTTTGGAAGATACTGAGATACTAACTCTTGATTCTGAAAACAGGCAAATTAAGGGATAGGATCAAGCATTGAATTTACCTTTTCTATAAAGGCTGCTCCTCAGGGAAAGCAAATATCTGATGTGGAAAGTTTCTTTATGTAAGAATTCCAGCTAATAAATGCATAAGCAATGATAGAATTAAAATATCATCACTTGGAACCTCTAACAAAAATATAGCTGTAGGCGACGATAATCAATAGCTTCTAAAACTATTATGTGACAGAGTGATGAGAAACTTTACCATGGATGGATTGGGCCAGTGCCCCTGAACTGCTGATTAATCTTGAACATCACGGGAAGAATGAGAAAAGCTCCTCTGCACCTGCTAATGTGGTGCAGTAGGAAGCTTAGGGGACCAGCTTCAGTGCTTCCCACAAAGCATTCTTGCCAAAAATCTGACTGATCCGCCTCTCGCACTAACCCACCAATTTATAGGAAATACAGAGGGTAGAGAAACATGTTAAATGCCACCGCGGGAATATCATCTGCAAAATCCAGAAAGGGGAAAATTTTATAGGACTGATAATCTGGTTTCCTGAACAAACAGAAGGCAAGAAAAGTCTCAGATTAGAAAATAAACAGAGTCTACAGCCAGGTATGGGGAAATCAGTAAGATGTGAGAGCCGCTGAAAGGAAGAAGACAGAAAAATGACACAGAGCAGTCCCGAGTAGGAATGCATTTCAAGTGGCAGCCTTTTGGTGTCAGGGCACACCTACGTTATAAACCCAGCTTTGCCCTACCAGTCCCATAACTGTTCCCACGTAAATGTGACTTTCGTCACTAAGAAAACACCAATAACTATAAATGATGTTAGAGAAATACAGAAATCCATATCTTACCAAGATTTCTATGAAAAATAACAGAGCTTTATGTATGTAAATTGATTATCTAAAATTATATGAAAAGATATTCATCTTTGTAGGAGGATTCTTTCTCAGGGGTTTTCAAATAACCAAGGTTATACAGCAGACACTCCAGCAGTGAAATAATAAAAATGATTCAGAATCCCACCTTGGCAGTTTTAGCTACACTAATTACTTCCAGAAGGAAGCATTTCCAGGTGGAGGCAATTACTCTTGATAGAATTCAGCAATGTTTTTGTGCATAGACTGAATGCATTTTATACAGCGTTAGTTATAGATACCCTTCATTTCCCAAAGATAATGCTTCAGAAACTCTCTTACGAGCTTAAAACTGGAATCTACATTTGAAGCATAGAGAAAAAACCAAAAAAAAATTGAGCCTTTTGCAAAGTAAAGTCAGGAGGCCATAAACTAGTTGCAAAATCTCCAGAAGCTGAGCTTGAAATATTCCCATTAGCATTCTGTACAAAGAAGTTCCCACACTGACTCTGAGATTCATGTAATAGCATAGGTGTCAGGGTAGCCAGGAGAGCTGCTAATAAACTCAATCATGACAACCTGAATGGAAGATCAATGCTGGGTCTATTTTCAGACAGCCAGGGACAAGTGAGAGAAAGATTTTCTGAGTTTCTGAAATTGAAAAATAAATTTAAGAAAAGAGAGAGAGATAAAGTTTTGACCCATGATCTGTGCAGAATGAAGCATTTACCCACCAGGAAGCCATGGATAAGCAGTGATATGCTAAATTACAGGTTTTCCCAAAACAAACCAGACATCTAAAAGATGAAATGATAGCTAATAGCCAGAGTATAGTTGGGGAAGCAGAATGGTATTAGTCTACCTGGGTTCAAATCCCAATTCCACCACGGTGTGACCTTGAACAAACTATTGTGACATCTCCAAGCCTCAGATTTTTAATATGTAAAACAATACTAATTATCACACCTAATTCATAGGGTTGTTGTAAATGAAGATTAAGTGAGGTAATGTAGGGGAAGTCCAGAGCATGTAATTTTGTACATACCTAATAAGTGTGATATTTCTATTAGGAAGGCAACATGTATTTAGATCAGGTCTATCTTTAAACTTTGTTCCTTATGATACTGGTTAGGGGAGAGAGTGGCAAAGGATGTTCTTTTCATTTGTTTTTTCAGCTCTTGTTCATTAAAGCCCTCTAGGCATTAGGAATACAATGCAGAGCTGTGTTCCCTGTCCTCCTAGGACTAAGGAATTTAGGAAGACACAATTGTGGCAAAGCAGAGTAGGGGCCATTAAGTGGGGAAATTCTCTTTGAACATACTCTCCAAGAACGTGTTCTCTGAAAACACAGAACAGCTGACTTACTCCCCGGTGGGTCAGGGAAGGTGCGCTCACGTTGGAGCTCTCAGAGGATGAGGAGAGAGCCCGCGAAGAGAAGGAGGAAGAGACTCCCCCAGCGTGGTGACAG